GTGAGGGTCTCTAGATTGTATCTCAGCGTCGCCTTCCTCCAACTTTCTCCTCCTCCTCCTGCTCATCCCCTTCCTCCTTTTCCTCCGTTTCTCCCTCTGTGCCTCATGTGCTCCCGTTCCTCCTTCACTTCCTACACCGGGGCTGGCTGCGGAGTGTGCTGTGCTGGACTTTTTGCGGGGCTGGCTGCGGAGTGTGCTATACTGGACTTTTCTCGGGGCTGGCTGTGGAGTGTGCTGCGCTGGACTGTTCGAAGGGCCAGACTGCCAGACTTATCGAAGGGCCTACTTAATCTCCCTCTATCTATCTATCTGTCTATCTCTCCATCTATCTGTCTATCTATGTATCTAACTATTTATCGATCTATCTATCTATTCGTCTATCTATCTGGCTATCTATGTATTATGTATCTATCGAGCCATCCACTTGCGTATCTGCCTATCTAAATATCTACATATCTATTTATCTGTTTTTCTACCTATCAATTTCCCTCACTCTCTGTTTTTTTCTCTCTCTCTCCCCATCTGTCTATCTATCTGTCTATCTATGTCTATCTGTTTGTCTGTCTGTCCATCATCATCATGTCTATGTATCTTTATGTGTCTGTCTATCTGTCTGTCTATTGGTCTATCTACCTTCTATCTACTCTCTCCCTCTCTCTACCTTTGAATATATTATGTTTGTCTATCTATTTATGTGTCTACCCCTGTGTGTATCTACATTTGCCTGTTTATTCTGAGGGCACCTTGGCCCGGTGCAAGTTAAATGGCAGACTCAAGCTTGCATTTGTCTTGCGTTGCGCCCCCGTCAGGCGCCAAGAAGGAGGGCCCGAACAACTGCTCCAATATGGCTCGGCGAACGTTTTGGCGTTAGACCGTTAAATACCGTTAAGCACGGGCGGGGAACCAAGGATGCAAGTAAAGGTGCTCATCTTGTCCTATTTTCTCATGTGTTATCTTGTTCTTTGTTTATGCAGCCCCGTTCTTTATCATTATTGTCTCGCATCGTATTCATCACATCTTTCTATCTGGATCTGTCTCCCGAAAGTTCGGAAAGACAAAAGAAAAGAAATCAAAGATGAACATGTAATAAATTCCTTGATTTCGGCGTCGAGTGATCCCGACCTTTGACCGGTGCACGCAAATCAGTGGCACGCAAGGCCATGTGCAGATTTCGTGGCAGGCGCAGCACTTTCGCAGTGTCAGGGACAGATATCCCAAACAGTTGCGCGCATGCTTTTTCCAGTGAGATGGTTGCTGGCATTTCAGCTTTGGAGAGCGTCCAAGCCAAAATGGTCTGAAGATGAAGACAGGTTGTTTCAAGCGATCCCGCATAACCGCTTGACACTGAGGCTGTTGAATCCAGGCATGGAATGAGTGCATGTCCGCTTGGCTGGAACAGTCACGAGTTTGGTTTCTTGCGCCCGGCAAACATAAAGCTCTGGCATGGTCTGGGCGGCTGGTTTACAGGGGTCGTAAAAGAGCGCCGCGAGCTGTTGGTGTTGGGGATATCACCTGGGCCTCTTTTTTTCCACTTGTCCTAGCCTCGAGAAAACAGAAAACAACCAGCAAGTTGCTCTGAACAAGCTCCCTGATTCGCGTAGCACTTTCGTACTTAAAAGTTGCGAATATCCAGCCGGAGCTGCGCAAGTGTACTGCGCGCACTACTTTCGTGCTAAAAAGTTGCGATTTTCCAGCTGGAGCTGCGAAAGTGTACTTCGCGCTCAAAAGTTGTGATTTTCCAGCCGGAGCTGCGGAAGTTTGTTTCTTTTTTGTAACGCGTACGCGTACTACTTTCGTACTGAAAAGTTGCGACTTTCCAGCCGGAGCTGCGAGGTGTACTTTGCGTACTACTTTCGTCTTAAAAGTTGCGATTTTCGAGCAGGCGCGCAATCCACGAGACAACTTCCAAAGGCCATGTCGTGAGCAAGAAAAGCGCAAGAGCGCGTCGACACGCACGCAGAGGGCTCTCCGAGACTAAGCCAACTTCGCACAGGGCCACAGCGAGAGCGCTTCGACACGCACGATCCCCGCAGAGGGTCGCGCGTGGATCGCAGAAATCGTAAAAAAGCCGCAAGTTTTTGAACATCGCGGATCTCCGCAGAGGGTCGCGCGCGCAGATCAGAATTCGTGAAACGTCCGCAGTATTGTAACCATCTCCGCAGACAGTCGCGCGCGCATCGCAGAAATCGTACAAAGTCCGCAGTTTTTGAACATCGAGCGCGCGGATTTCCGCAGAGGATCGCGCGGGCAGATTAGAAATCGCAGAAATTCCGCACTTTTTTATCATCGACCACGCGGATTCGCAAAAAGTCTCAGTTATTTTTAACATTGACCACGCGGATGTCCGCAGAGGGCCGCAATCCCGAGCGATGATCAAACTCCAACCCCGCTGGTAGAAACCTAAGCTTACTTACATACCTGCTTACGCCGAAGCTCCATACGTAAGCTCTCTACCCAACCTTGGCTCTGCGCAACTTGGCTCTCTACCTGACCTTAGCTTTGTGCCGCTCCCCTCACCACCCAAAAGACCTTAATTAAGGTTTCCAACCTTATTTAAGTTTCTCAACCTTAAAAAACCTCCTTAATTAAAGGCTTTAGTGCTTATTTAAAGTCTTTTTCTTGACAACACATACAAAAGTCCTTATTTAAGGTCTTTTTTTAAGGTTGAATCCAACATTTAAGGACTTTAGTCCTTAATTAGAGGGTTTTCATTTTAAGGTGTTTTTTCTTAGTTAATGTGTGTTTCAAAAGGAGAAGCTTGCATGCGCTTCTCCTGATCTTTTTCTTTTCTCAAAATAGGAGAACGAACGTGCTTTCTCCTGTAGACAAACTGCTGCAGCAAGTTCATGCATGGCTTCATGCGCGCTCGAACCTCCAAGGCAGCGCCTCGATCCAAACAGCTCCTTTTTTTCTCGCTGGCACATCGTGTCGACCTGCAAACCGGCACAATACATTCTCGGCGGTTGAAGTCACAGACTTTGGCCCTCCCCTCCTCCTCCCCATCAGGGCCAGAGCCCCTCCAAAATCCTCATCCCGATATGTCCACGTCAAACTGGGATTGGAGGCAGCCACCTCGCACATTTCTTGGAACAAATGCAATTTTGGTTTCAGCCTCCACTGCGCGTGATCAGAGTCATGGACCAAAGCTGCGTACAAAGTGCAAAATTTCCGACAATGTTCTTTCAGTACTGCTATGGAAAAATTCTGATGATCCAAGCATTCATAGCATCGCGACAGGTGCCCAGCTGCCGCCTTCAAACTTGACTCCCACACATTGTCATCCCTGCAGTACTCTTGGGCCAGGAAGTTGACAAAAGGCACAGTCGCCCTGACTTGAGCCGCTCCCCCTCTGAGCTTGGGGGGTTTGCTGGCTTTCTTCTGCAGCATGGTGGCGGTGAGGTTGGCAAGCCTGTCCTTGGTGCCATTGTCCTTGTACCATGTCTGGAGCTTCAAAAATAAATCTCTGCATTGCTCGTCTTTGTTGGTGCCTCGCATTTTTGGTAGCAAGGAAGAAAGAAAACTCCCACAAAAGTCTGCTGCAACTCCTTTGTCCACTGCGTGCAACCAATCGATTTGAAAAATAGAAATATCAACAAACGGGCAGCCCATGATAGGAGAGGTTGATCTCTCAAGTTCTGCTTGCCTCGTCATAAACTGCCAATGGGAAAGGCGGTGCTGCGGCATCCTCCAAAATGCCTGGTCATCACAGAGATGGATGCGGTCAGGAGTCATGGTGCACCTCCAACAGCAGCCGCTCAATTCTTTCCAGCCGGGCAGCCTGAACAATTCCTTGTAGCAAGCCCAGTCGCCGCGAACCTCAGCAAGGATTGCCCTGACATAGAGGGTTTGGCCAGCCAGCTTCTTCCTCACCGCATCTTTGGCGGTAAAAGGAGACCCGTCGTGTCTCCTGCTGGGGTATACGCCAGAAAGTAAAATCTCAAAACTCCACTTCAAAATATTGAAGATACAGTCAAAGGTGGCGTGCTTGATCACAAAAGATTTGTCAATGACCGTGATCGGCAGCCGCATGTTCTTCCATTCTGGGACGCCTGGGAAATTTAAGGCAACAACTTCCAGCGAAGAACTCTTGTCCCAGTTGTAAGGGACGCCGTCGTTGTAAGGGACGCCGTCGCACCACAGACCGCAACCCAATAGGGTGGCTCCAGCCTGAGCTTCCACCTTGGTCACGTGGGCAGCCGTGTCAACGGACATTCCGCCTTTGTCCAAAAAATTCTCCAACGAAGACCACTTCGCAATATAACCCACCAGCTCATGTGGCAACCACATAGGCAAGAGCTTGTGAACTGCTGCCTTCTTTTTGGGGTCCCAGACCTCAACAGATACAAAATAGGGCTTGGGCCAATTGGAATATCTCACAAGTTTCCTTTGCAAGTCCCGCTTATGATGCCCAGCGGATGGCTTAAAAGAATGCAAATCTCCAGTGTGCGCACTGCCGGCTGCCTCTGCATCCTGTAGCAAGCTGGACGCTCGCTCTGCGCTGACTTGGTTGGTAAAATACAAATCCTCAATGTTGGTTCTCAGCCTCTTCTCTTTGGGCTGGTCAGAATATTTTGGAAGGCTTCTTTTGGAAAACATTGACTCTACCATCCACAAGCAATTGCAAAACCAAAGGGCCAGCATCCATTTGGCAAGGCAAGCCATTTTGCTGACAAGAAAAAACTCAGAAGGCGTCAAGGGTGCAAGTTTGAACCGAGAAGCTTTAGAGCCTCACATGCGCAAGCGTGATCAGAAAAGCAAGCTCCGAAGGCACTTCTTTTGCGCTCAAAAAAAACTGTGCTCAATTGCGCCTTTAGTGAGGCACAAAGAGAACCCATTGCGCAAACTAGCACTCACTAGTTCTCAGCAGTCAAGAGCTGGGCCTTCTTCTTCCAAATCGGCGCTTTTGTCCCCAATGGATCTGCACTGCTCGGCCGTGCGCTGGTCGGCAGGCAGATCTTTGTGGGCGAGCAATGTCTCTCGGACACTCTTGACCTCCTGGTTCAGCTTGGCAGCTTGGACAGAACGCTGGCCTGCAAGGTCTCCCCCTTGTCCTTGAGCCATTCCTTCTTGGGGTCTTTCCCCTTCTGAAGCAAGCAAGCAGCCAGGTCCTCCAAGGCGGGAAGCACTTTTTCTATAGCCTGCTTTCCACTGGAGAGAACCTGGAGGGCCTGATCCAGCCTCTGCTTCAAGGGGTTCTCCATCTTCACCTGGACCTGCCCCTTGTCTTGCAAGGCCAAGGCGTCACCCAGCCCGGCTGTGGAGGTTGTCTGCCTGGTGTTCTCCACCTTGAGGTCTTTGAAGCCCTCGACGTGGTACCGGGTGAGGCCAGCCTTCTTGAAGCCACGCTCAATGGGATTCTCCTTGTCCCAGTCGTGGTCGGACTTCAGGGTGGTGCTGAAATCCTCAAACTCCTTGGACTCCACTGGCAGCTTCACCAAGTCTGCCAGCTGGAACCTAGGCAAGGGGTGGCAAGCCAACATAATATTTACAAAAAGACCGGTTGGTGATCCAAAGTGAAAATGCGGCTGGAATGCCAAGAAACTTGTTCAAGTAGCCATCCTTCGTGTCCAAGCTGCTGCTGTTGGTCTCTTCGATGGTTTCCTGGTGGACCACCATCCACTTGCAGGACTTGTCCAACTTGAATTTACTCAGCAGCCCCTGCTTCTCCTTGCAACTGTGCGGCAAGGCCCGCCACTCAGCCAAGAAAGCCTGCTTGTGGTGGTCACCCATCTTCGCACCATAGGAGAGGTTGGCCAGCATACCACTCACCTCCTTCTTGTCCATGCCTTGCCCTTCAGACTTGGGCTTGGGCTTGGCCACAGCCTTTTTGACGGCTGCCTTCTTCTTCTGTGGGGATGGCTTTGTTTTGGCAGTTTTGGGAGCCATGATTGAAAGTAAGCTACCAGAAAGCAAGGCCCAGACCACTGCTTGATCCAAACTATCCATGTGATCAAACCAAAACAAGCCTGTGTGAATGAAAAAAAATTGTTGGCGCAAAAAATGCATTTTTGAGCTCAGACCTGGCAATCCTCATCCCCACGTCTGTGGACATGGGTTTCCTTCAGAAAAATGAAGGGGCACCATCCTCATGAACAATTTGACTTTCAACCACTGGAAAAGTACCCAAGGCACACGGGTCTGCTCAAGCAAGCATGGTCAATGGCAAACTCCAGTCACCAAAAATAAGGTTGGCAAGTTTCAAGGAAATATCTCAACCTCAATCAACCCTCCTAAGTTTAAAAAAGTTAAAAATTTAAACTTTTTTTAACTTTTTTAAACTTTGATTTCTCTTTGATTCTAGTAAAGAAATCAAAGTTTAAAAAAGTTAAAAAAAGTTTAAATTTTTAACTTTTTTAAACTTCTCCCTTGTACCCCAAAAGCTTCCCAGGTGGTCATATATGATCTGCATGGACAACTGCAATCTCATGGCTAGGTATCCCGCGTTTCTTCTTCAAAAGCACCTTGGCTGCCCGATGGCTGCAAAATCCAGTGGCTCCCAAATGAGCAACAAGGGCATCATGTAGATCAAACAAGAAGCATCTATGTGAAAAGGAGGCCCCTTGATGCCTCCTGAAGGTAACAATGCGTGTGTATGAAAAGGAGGCCTCTTGATGCCTCCTCAAAAAAGCAATGCGTGGACCTCGCCTTCAAACCTGAACTCCTGAACTAGCCGACTGGTGCCTGGGAAGCACAGATGCCATCCAAACAAGATGTGCTGACACACCCGGCAATGAAAATCAGCGCATTGCGTGGTGCAAGGCCAGCTCCAAATGCAAACTCTCTTCACTCTGTGTCCTTCCCCCCTTCCTGCACCAAGTGCAACCAATTGGAACCTCAAGGAGACCAGGGGGGGGCAAAAGCCTTCAACTGCAAAACCCTCAAGAATGACCAAGCTGACATTTTTCCCACCTTGTCATACTGTACTGCCCTGGCTCCAGCCTGACACCAGCAAGGTATAACCAGACAGATCCCTAAACACTGGCTACGTGCAAAAATGATATCCAACACATTCTAAGTGCAACATTCCCAAAAACACAAGCAACAACATCTTAACCTTACTGGTTATCCTTTCCATCCTCCTGCTTGTCCACCCCATCAGGCGGCATAGCCGCCGTGGGGGGCATCTGGGGGAAAGGAGGCATGGGAGGGAACGCTGGCTTAGGGACAGGCTGAGCAGGCTGGATAGGCTGAGCAGGCTGGGCAGGTGGGCCTGGAAGCCCCATCTGCGGGACGCCGCCAGCAATCATGGCAGCAATCTGCTGTGCCAGTTGCTGCTGCTCTGGCCCAAGAGCGCCAATATTGATATTGGTGACATTCACATTGATGATGGGACTAGCCTTTGGCACAGTCCCACCAGCTTTGGCCATAGGCCAGAAACCGGGAGGATACATTAGCCCCGACGGCAACCCTGGATTCCCTGGGCCCCTAAAGGCAGCAGGGATGCTTGCACCACCCTGCGGCTGGCCTCCTCCAGCGCCTCCTCCAGAATGTACACGGGCGCGAGCCTGGCAAAAGGCAAAAAAAAAAGCTTCGACTGAACCACAAGTTAAAAATAAAAATAGAAATCCAGCGTAAAAAAATGCAACACAGAGCAACTAATTTTGGCACGCTGCCTTCAAAGCCACAGCGTACTGGGTCCCAGATTGGCTTGTAGAAGTGGGGGGCTTGGGCGAAGAGGGTGGCCTGGCTGAAGTTGCAGCCCCGCGTGTCGCCCTCCGAGCCCAGAACACCTTCCTCTTCAAGCCCTTGTTCTTGGACTTCCGGACGCGCTTGCCATGGGTCTTGTGCACTGCGGCCAAAGCCTTTTTGGCCTCTTTCATGGCCTCAGACTTTTTCTTCCTTGAGGCCACGATGCACTTGACCATGCCCTGCTTGTCGCCAGTCCAGGATTTCTTGGCGGACTTGCCCTTCTGCCAGTAGGCCCAGTCCTTGCGGTGGACATAGTAGAGGGCCTGGGCGTGTGACAAGCAAAAACAACAAATGAAAACACGGAATGCAACAACAAAACTTAAGGAGACCAAATTCTGTCTCCTGTTAAATGATTCATACGTACATATGCTGAAACAAGGGGCGCAGGCTGGATTACAGCATCCACCTTTCCTCAGATACGACCGGCAATGGCACTTCAGGCACTCCCGCAAGAACTCAGGGTTCTCCCAGGGCTCCACCACCTGGTCCTCAACAAAGCCCTGCTCCTCCTCCTCGCCCTCCAAGAGCAGGTTAACAACGCTTGTGGCCTTGCTTGGAGGAGGCGAAGGTGGCGGCTTCTTCGGGGGAGTGCTGGGGCCATCCGCCATGGCTTAGAAAGCAGCGTAGAAAACAGCGGTCACCAAAAAAACGTGTTTTTTTGAGCCAAGCTGGAAACACACAGCAAGGATGCAGACTGACGGGTCCAGCGCATGCTCTACCCACATCTGTGAAAGTTTGTGGCCGAGAAAACAAATATCGTGCACCATGAAATGTTCACAGGCAACTACTGCAAGCAAGGTGGCGCCTACTGTTTCCCTCCCCCCTCAAAAAAAGCAAGCCAAGGAACCGCGCCAAACCCCAAGCAAACAGAAGCACGCGAACCACAAAGAGCGTTGTTTTACATCTGCGATCTGGCCCACTGCTTGACCTGGTCTTCACTTTGCCCGGCATGGAGCCTGGCAACTGCCTGATCAGCAATGTCTGAAACTTGGTCTTTTGACAGCGTGTGGCTCTTTAGTTGGAAAATTTGTGACTTCGCAAAAAACTTTTGCCTTATGGCAAAAGCGCCTGATGCCTTGTAAAACATTTTACTGTATTCGTTCTTGCGATGCGGCTCTGAGCCTTCAGAGTTCGAGTGCTCAGCTGCCCTCTCCTCAGCTTCAGGCATGGACGGTGCTGCAGCTGGCCTTTTCAAGGCAGCCACTGGCTTTTTAAAAGCGCCAGTGGTGGGAGGAAGTGGCCCCTTCTTCAGTAACAAGTTAGGAACCTCAGTGGGCACTGTGGCCCCATCCACTTTTGCCACTGCAAAGCCTTCAGGGCCAACTTCTAAGGGATAGCGCTGGGCGTCTTTGCCAGCATGCGCTCTGACCAGCTCCAACGTGGAGTTGTCAACATACACAGCAACCTTGTCGTTGGACTGCCTGGAGCTGCTAGCAGCCTCAGAGCCTGGCAAGGGGCCTTCTTGACTACTTGCCACCTGCACTGAAGAATCTATTGACACTGCAGGCGAAAAAACAAGCAAAGGCTTGCTCGAGCCCTTGGGAGGAGTCAAGCCAAGCTCCAAAAAAATTGACTCCCTAGTCCGGGGAGGCGACCGGCTCCTCTTCTTGCTAGAAGCAGAAGCTTCCTGCGCGCTGCTCATGGCAGGTGCTTCTACTGGGCTGCTAGCTCTTGCGCTGGCAGGGGACACTTCATTGGCACCTGCCTTGCCCCTAAGGGCAAGGATGACCTTCCTAACTGCTGAGTGCAGCTTCTTCCCGCTCTGAGCACTTTTCTCTTTTTGCCTGCAGTAAGAAATGCTTTTGCACATCCTGCCAGCAAAGGCATCCGCAGTCTCTGGAGAAACTGCAAACACACTGGAAGCAGCAGCTTTCAAAATGCTTTGGGTGGGCCTTGCTGTCACCTTAAGCAAGTCGATCAAAAAATCTTCGTAGCTGGCCACTACCAAATCCATCTCCACTTGCTGGAAAAGCTTTGGGTCGAGGCAGGTCAAATTGGCCCGTAGCACCTTGCCCACGGCCTTCTCGTCGGCAGTGTTTTTAGCTCGAGCCATTGCACGGATCAAAGCTTGAGCTCCAAAACGGCTGCCAAGATGTCAAATGGTCACCCGAGCTCCAAGACACGCAATGAAGCCACTACCCTGCTAACTCATGTAAAAAGGAGGCGGCTGCCTCCTGCTCAAAAAGGCGTAAAAAAACAGGCCTTAATTAAGGAAAACAAACCTTAAAAAAACACACCCTAAATAAGGAAAAACACCTTAATTAAGGTAGTAAAAAAAGACCTTAATTAAGATAAGGTCTTTTGGGAGGTGAGGGTCTGTGCCACTTGGCTCTGCGTCACTTGGCTCTGCGCCACTTGGCTCTGTGCAACTTGGCTCTGCGCAACTTGGCTCTGCGCCACTTGGCTCTGCGCAACTTGGCTCTGCGCAACTTGGCTCTGTGCCACTTGGCTCTGTGCAACTTGGAAAAGAAACCCTGTATACATTGTATTTCGACAGTTGTTGCGACCCAAAGCTTTTAAACCAATAGTGAAAAGTGAAATTGCATGTTGAAGTCTACTTAGAAGACGACACCAGCTTGTGTTTCCATGCAGGATTCTAAGTCTACCTCAGTTCTAAGGCCAAAAAGGGAAGCAGGAATGACAATTGTGAAGATGCTAGCAGACTTGCAGCTACTCTCTGGCAATAGGCAACACAGTTTTGACCCTGCAGCGCATGCCTGTCAACCTCTATCCATTGCCGCCTGCTCACATTCATTCTTCATTCTTTGTTGTCGCCAGAGACGCACGAAGATGCAACTTGCTGGCGATGCAATGTTCAAAGCACGCAAACCAAAGAAGAACAAACACACGCAACAACAAATAGTGCAGAAGCTCGCCCCCCATGAGCCGCCGCTCTCTTTCCTTTTGGCTTCCTTCCAAGCCACCTGACAAACGTGGTACAACTTTAGTGGTATCAATTTTGCGGAAATGATCGAATCAGGTGGGGTGAGGTACTCCGGGAGGTCGTATCGATTCTTTGCGCATTGAGATCTGCAGTATGCTTCGGACAATGCTGGGACATTTGGATAGGTTTGTTCCATGCCATTTTCAAATTGACCCATTGTGACCTGTCGGTGTTGCGAGACACGGTGGAGCAGTTCCAAAAGGCACGTGGCTTGGTTTGGACATATTGCTCGAGGTGGGCTGTAGTTGCTGAAGGAGGCTACGTTGAGTTTTACAACGCGTCATCCAAGTTCCTGCCCCTGCTGTTTTTTTCTTCTTGTGCTCCTCCTGCTCATGCTCCTCCTGCTCCTGCTCCTGCTCCTCCTCCTCCTGCTTGCTCCTCCTGCTCCTGCTTCCCCTGCTCCTGCTTCCCCTGCTCCTGCTTCCCCTGCTCCTGCTGCAGCTGCTGCAAGTTCTGCTTCTTCTGCTCCTCCTGCTTGTGCTGCTTCTGCTCATGCTCCTCCTGCTCCTGGTTGGCAGGGGGTCGTTCAGGGGTCGTTCTGGCGTTGTCCCGGGGTGTTTCCAGCCAAATGAGTTTCCCCAAGGTAGATCACGGAAGTTTGACGGAGGTGTTTAGCCAACAATGTTCCTGGGCTTATTTCGTGAAAATGATGCGCAGCCCGACCCGATCCCAGAGCGCCCCTCCCCGTTTGCTCAACTTGCATGAGCCCCCTAGGGTTCACGGAGCATCTCGCACATTCGCACGGCGCCACAGCGCACGATCTCCACAGAGGGTTCGTAGGGCTTGCTGCAACAGTTGGGCTTGCTCCAACAGTTGGTCCGGTTTGTTCCATGCAGGTGTCACAGGGCTTGCTGCAGCAGCTGCTTATGTTTGGAGAGAAAGTGTTCATCCCTTGCGCCTGCCTGCGCATTTTGCAGCATGCTCTGTTCTAACACGCGTCTTCGCGTTTTGTGCTGCAACCATCCTGCATTCCGCATTGTAAAGCAAGGGTTGGTGGGACACTGCGGGGACCCCGTCGCATCGACTTCTCCCCAGAGGCACGCAACGTGTCACCAACCTGATGTGACCAAAGTTTGTGACTGTACCCTGGAAAAAAGGGCACACCCACTACCGCCGGTTTGACTCCAGACCGTTTGCTTCCAGCAAGCGGTTGTTGCACGACAAACATCAAACTCACGACTCTTACCCTGGATATACGCTAGCCACTTTGATCGTTTGATTAAAACACCTTTGTACATGTAGAAAGACACATGTTTAGGTTCATACGGTTCTGCATTTATAGAATGCAGAATGTAGGCAAAGCATTGCCTTCGCATGCGGCAGTTGGGATTGCGCTCTTCAAAGAACCGCGCCAGGACGACCGCGACGGGAGCCTTAGTGCGCAACTGGGCACGAAGGAAAGTGTTCTGAATAATATGTGTTATTTTCGTTGTTGGGCTTAGAGGGGATCTATCACTCCTGGAAATGTGTCGTTCTTTTTCCAGGGGGCTTAGTCAAATGGAAGTGGTTGGTGTCCTTCTTCCTTTAACTGCGAACTAGAGGGTCACCATTTGAGAAACTTTGAGAAACTCCCCAAGTTCGATAGTGATTCGGATTTGGAAAGTGGGATCCAGATTGGATTCTGTTTGCCGAGCTGAATGGAAAAGGGGGCTTGACGAACACAAATAGCAACTCTTTGGGTGTTGAACGTGATTGTGGGTAGATCCCTTGAATACTAGGGTTTTATTATCGCATGGCCTGGCGTGAATTTGGTAGCTGTCCTGGGCCGTCCTGTACTTGGTACAAGTGAAGTGCACGTGCCCTACAGTCGAGCGCGTGCATCGTGAGCACACGAGACTACTTGCATCGATGTGGGTTAGCCAATGTTCCGTTCTGACTCACTGCGGGTGACTGATATCCGTCATATCCAACGCTTCAGGCTAGAGTTCGTGTTTGAGCAGCCTGGAAGCCGAAGCATTGGCATGTCTGGTGACTTGGGTAGATGACCAGCCAACCAGTTCACGCGTCGCCAAAACAACCAACCAAGGTTCGGTTTTTTGATCAGTGGCCCATGCCTTGAGCTCCTCGTCTTTTCGGCAGGCAAACCGCTGACAAAGGACACCTCGACGGTGCGTTAACCAAGTCGTGAGACAACGCTCTGCACACAGGGGCGCCCGCGTCAAGCCGCTAAGAAGTGATGAGTGTTTTCCTTTGACCCGGTGATAGCAGAGAATGGCACCGACAAACTCAAACCACATTTGGGGTGGCAGGAGGGGTTGCAGGCAGCCTTGTTGAAGCCCGGCTACCAGTATCGTTTAGCACGCAGCTGTGGCCAAAGCGCCTGGATCCTCGCGCATATACCTGTTTGCACCAGCGGTCCAAACCATGGGGCGGCCGTTTGCGCGTTTTTCATGCATGGACCGGTTCGTGCATGTCACCACATATTAAAAGCATGCAGTCTTGCATGGCCTAGTGCCTAGTGCTCAATACAATGTGAAGAGTGGAGATCTTCTAGCCTAATGATGATTAGTATTGATTGAGCCGCAGGCTTTTTCAACCCTCCTGGGTGATTGCAGAGCCCTTGCCAGCCCTGTCCATCACATTGCTACCCGTTTGACTTATAGGGGCGGGCAGTCGTCGAGTGCGCTGGCCCATGTCGCTGCAGCAGCCGTTGTTGGGAGGCGGGGTCTCAAGGTGCTACGTGCAAGCCTTGAATTCATGCAGAGAAGTTAGCTTGCCTTTTGGCCCATATTAACCTTCCAGCAACCAAAATCAGATTCCCTCTGACCCGGCGTATATACAATGTTCAGCTACGTAGTGGCTTGTGTTGCAGTGATGTCCTCTCCTATCCGTGAAGGATAGCATTGATCAGGTGAAATTTCAACCATGAGGTCCGTGCTGTTTGTTTTTGGTGCCTTGGGACGCAGTGGCCTGAAGGTGCTGTAGATGAATGCTGCTGAAAAACCTTCAGAAGGCGCACCCCTTATTAATCCAACTGTGCCTGAGCTGGCGTTGTTTCTTCCCTGCGTTCCCATTAAACGGTCCGTTTCAGTTCATGTCAATTCAACTGAAAACGAGTCTACTCAATCTGCCTTCTGAGCCAAGCAGGCGAAATCATGCTGGGGCAGATTATAGGATTTGCTGAGAATCCAACTTCCAGACTTGAGCACAGTTTTGACCTTCATGGCCGATGGCGGACGTAAAACCGGACCTGGGGCGTGTCGATGCGCACCAACTGGAAATTCTGTGTGTGTGTGTGTTTGTATGCATTGTGTTGCTATGCTTTTGATTTTCCAGGTTTTGAGGCGTCCTCAAGATGTTGCAAGCCCCGAACCGACAGTGTCGTGGATGTCAGGCGCAGCTGGCCGCCTGAATGCCGACTCCTCAAGGGCCTATGGGATGCGGCTTGAGTCGGCCTTTGATTTAGCTCGGGGTGGCGCGGGGTGTTGCATAGGAAGCCAAGTGACACGATTTTTGGCCATAGATTTGATTCCTCGCCTGCGCTTACAAAGCTGTGGCTTGAATGGAAGTGTCGGGGCCAGTGTGCTTCGGCTGCATGTTTCCAAGATTTGGACCGCGGTGCGGGCTGGAAGCTGTGTGTTTGTTCATGGGCGGTGTGTGCTGCTGGCCGGCAGTTGCAGCACTGCATCTCTACGCGCCCATTTGAAGCTGCAAGCACTTACTTGCTGTTACTTTCCATCAGGGGGCTTTGATCGTGTGCCGGAGTAAGTATTTGGACTCAGGCAATCTCCAGCTTGTAGTTTTGGGCGCCTGTTTTAGAGTTGGTTCTTGCTCCAGCCTGGAATGACCAAAGCCCGCCCACGATTTTAACGTTTGCTGTTCGTGCCGTAGGGTTAAAACAAAAACTGACTGCCCCATCAGTTTGGAACTTGAAGTAATTTAATTTAGACAGTCCGCAGGGCTCTGTGTTGTTCGCTAGGATCTCTTCCACTTGTTATTAAATCCCCACCCCCACCCCGAGTCCCAGGGTAGTTCCACTACAGCCCTCGTCCAAACGAGGCTCCCCCCTTGCCGCGCGCAACAACCGTCAAAATCGCAATCTTCCGAGTAGCGAGTTCATGTAAAGTCGCTCAAGGCGCTTTCTTGGATTTGTCAATCCAAGTGTTAAAGGCGAACTCGAAATTACGTTTTACAATTTGAGTTTACAATTAAAAGACGGGGAGTGCTGACAGTACGAGCCCAACAGGGCTGTCAGAAGTTCAGTATTGGTTTAGCATTGGGTGAATTAAGGGTAAATGTTTTTTTGACACAGGGCTGGATTTAGTAGGGGGGAATTCATTAGTGTGAGTGCCAAAGCCTGATACCCTGCGCCACGTAGGGTATCGGGCACGCTCTAAGTTTCTTTGCCCTTGGTCCAGTTGTGCGCTAGCTAATGCAGGGGCTTTGTTCAGCTTGCCTCGGCCGGCTGTTGAAGCCGATAGGGGCCCGCCTGGTCCAAGGAAATGGATTCGCACTTCTTTGCAGGCCAACCGAAAAGACGACAGTTCTCCCCCTCCAAGCATGAAAAGGTATCATTGAGTCTTGTTTGATGCGCCGAGAAAACAGTGATTCTGTGCTGTTGCTGGACTAGCCTGTGGCTCATAGGCAACCGTTAGATGTTTGAATTGTGGGACAACATGCGGGGAGCCAAGACCAACAAACTCCAAACATTGGCATGGGTCAAAATTCAGCCGCCATTTTTTTCTCCATGTACCAGGGTTGCAGTTTGGAACCTATTTTCAACCCACACCCGCGTACCGCAATCCGAGGTGTGCGAAACGCTCTGGCCCAAGTGTGCGAGATCACGGGTTTTGACCGGGCAAAACTTGGCTGGGCTCGGGCCCTTGGCTGGCAAAACCTGTCAATGACATGAGCTAAAGGGCCGAAAAGAACAACGCAGCAGTCACACAAATATATATATATATATATATATATATATCGTTTTAAATGTTTTGTTTTTTCTTCTTTTTTTAAGGGGGGGTTGAAAAGGGAAGGCAGCAGGAACACCGCCACCAAGTGTGGGGGTCCGCAACAGACGTTCCGCCCGAAGGTGCGGCTCTCCTTGGTGTCGCTGTACGCCCGGCAAGTGCCACTGCACGGAGCCCTGGGTGGAGGATCTGCGTTTTTCTTTTTCTTTCTTTTTTAGTATTCCCCAACAGCTGAAAGCAAAGGGGTCTCAGCCCAGATAAGGGGGGGTGGCTTGGGGGAGCTCTGCAGTCAGGTTCGAGCAAGGTGGTGCAGGCCAGGTGTAAGGTTCAAGGCAGGTTGCGGAGGTTTCGGGGTGGTCTGGTAGGCCTGCAAGGTTCAAGGAAGCTTCAGGAGGTTTCGGGCTGGTCTGGTGCAGGCCAGGTGTAAGGTTCAAGGCAGGGCAGGTTTCGGGGTGAGTAAGGTTCAAGGCAGGTTTTAGAAGGTTCAAGGCAGGTTCCGGGGTGGTCTGGTAGGCCTGCAAGGTTCAAGGAAGCTTCAGGAGGTTTGGGGTGGTCTGGTGCAGGGCAGGTGTAAGGTTCACGGAGGTTCCGGGTGGTCTGGTGCAGGCCAGGTGTTGTGGAGGTTTCGGGGTGGTCTGGTGCAGGCCAGGCGTATGGTTGAAGGCTGGTCTAGTGCAGGCCAGGTGAAAAGGTTCCGGAGGTTTCGGGCTGGTCTGGTGCAGGCCAGGTGTAAGGTTCACGGAGGTTCCGGGTGGTCTGGTGCAGGCCAGGTGTTGTGGAGGTTTCGGGGTGGTCTGGTGCAGGCCAGGCGTATGGTTGAAGGCTGGTCTAGTGCAGGCCAGGTGAAAAGGTTCCGGAGGTTTCGGGCTGGTCTGGTGCAGGCCAGGTGTAAGGTTCAAGGCAGGTTGCGGAGGTTTCGGGGTGAGTAAGGTTCAAGGCAGGTTTTAGAAGGTTCAAGGCAGGTTCCGGAGGTTCCGGGGTGGTCTGGTAGGCCTGCAAGGTTCAAGGAAGCTTCAGGAGGTTTGGGGTGGTCTGGTGCAGGCCAGGTGTAAGGTTGACGGAGGTTCCGGGTGGTCTGGTGCAGGCCAGGTGTTGTGGAGGTTTCGGGGTGGTCTGGTGCAGGCCAGGCGTATGGTTGAAGGCTGGTCTGGTGCAGGCCAGGTGAAAAGGTTCCGGAGGTTTCGGGCTGGTCTGGTGCAGGCCAGGTGTAAGGTTCAAGGCAGGTTGCGGAGGTTTCGGGGTGAGTAAGGTTCAAGGCACTGCGGGGTGCGTTGTGCCAGCGTCCAAGATCGCTCACCACTTTGCTGCGGTTTGTGTTTGCACGTTTTGCTTGTTGTCTGGTTGGGCACGCACTCCTACGCAACACTTGCATTGCTAGCAAGTTACTCACACATGGATATTTCTCAACATGGGGGATTATGGCTTGTTTCCTTTTGGTTTCCCTTTGCACCCTTTTGGGGTGCACCATTTGAGAACCCCCCACATGACTTGTGCAAGTTGGCCTTCTTCATCTCGCGTCGCTCCATTGTGTTAGCGAACCACACAGCCAAGCTTCGGATTTGTTATCTTGACGGGTGCCGATCAGGCAGTGGCTTGATCCTTGACCGTCAATCTCTTGAATTCTTTCTTTATTGCTTTTCACTCCAGAGAGGATAGGACAGCGTGATAAATTTATTTAGATAGAACTACATCTTCATATACCAACATTCCCTTCATTTACAAGCATGAGCAAAGAATGGTATTTCGATCCCTTGCTGAACCACCCCCCCTTCGTTTTCGGTCGAGGCGAGCCCTTGGACCTGCGCCCGAACTCCCGGCCTCGGGGGCGCTTCAGCTACAAGCTGCGGCTCGGATCGTTTCGTTGCGTGGCTTCGCTTCGGATTGTTGCAACACGTCGGGGGAGGGCCGGTAGGGGTGGAGGGGGGCCGGGTCAAAATGTTTTTAACCATGGTGTAGCTTGAATATCTGAATCTGAGTGCATTTGTAGGCTGTTGTGCTTGCCAGCTTGGCACGAGGCTCAGGAACCCCCATCATGGGAGATCATGGTGCGGGCATATCACCAGTGTCGCGATTGGCCATCAGTAGAGTTGATCGTTGCAGGCCTGGGTCAGGCTGTGAAGGCGTGGTGTTTTAACTTCATGTCAACAAGGCAATGGGCTGCTGTTTGCGTGGGTAAGTGTCACCACTTTTGTGCAACTGATGGCTTGTGAGTCCTATCGCAGATTTTCAGAGGAACTCTGCATCGGCTTTGGGCTTGGTGCATTGACCATCCCTTTGTGTATGAGGGTTATACCAAGCCATAGCTGGCTCCAGCGTCCGGATGAGGCGGAGTGTTTTTGGTTGGCGCGGAGGCAACCGCACCTTGCGGGTGGCCCTGTTGGACGTTTTTGCTTTGGCCGACTGCTTAAAAGAGCCCATGGTCATCAGCAAGTCATGTGTTTTGCAACAGCCGTGAAGTTGCCGTACAGACTACACACTTTCCACTTCAGGATTGACAATGAGAGACAGAACGGATCCCGATTGGGAAGGCCTAACTATGCTGAAGGGATCAGGATGATGTGGGTGTTTCTCAAGTTAGGTTTCCTTTTGGTTTCCCTCTAAATTCCAACCGATAGAATGAGACCACAAGGCGACTGGAAGGCAGGCTGTCCGAACGCAGTTCATCCCGAATCGGGGTGGGCTCTCCAAGGAGTCTTGGCCTTGACCACTCCGAAAAGCGCCTGCTGGAGGACATTGTCGCCTTTGTAGGCGCGCGCTGGGCTCGCTGAACCCGAAAGGCGCCATACGGCACATGGAAACACAAGAATACACAAGCAACCGATATGCCACAACGTTGGCGATACTCCTTTTAGACATGGGGCGTTGTTTGTGCTGCTAAATTTCCCAGTAGTGCCCTTTTACCCTTTTTTGGGGGGAGGGTTCCCTACTAAAATAAACTACAGAAAAAAGGGTGCCCTTATTCTGACCTCTCTACTGGAGGACCTAGGCTAAGTTGATTGTTTGGCTCTGGATTTGGCGTGAAATGGGGGCCCAAGGAGGCAACCGCTAGGTGGGGAGCTGAGCGGGCTCAACGAGATGCTGGGCATCATGGAGGCTGGGGCACGCAATCAACCCCAAGCCTGGCGACCATAGCCGCGTTTCGATTCGCGCTGGGGACGTATTCGCGCTGGGGTCGTGAGGGTACGGATCCCGAGTTTCCCGTTGGTGCCAAGCCAATCTTAGGTGGCAGGTGAATTCTGGCAGGCCCTTCGACATCAATAGCTAGCCCCTGGTGTGGAATCCCAATGTGGGAGAAAGGCATGAAATATGAAAGGACAAAACGGGCATGAGGGGTTTTCCGTGGAGCATTGAGCAGCTCTTTTGTTTGCTCCGAGCGTTTGTTCTGTGAGAAAATGGCAGTGCCATTCTGGTTTGTTCCAACCCTCAAGCCTACATGTGTGTATTGGATGGGCCGAGGCAAGATCTACAGGCGTTGGTTGCGTTGAGCGTAGGGACTGCTACGCCGGGGCTTGTTCCCAAAGGAGTTGCATTCGTGTTATGGCTGGGGCCTTGACGCACAGGTCGAGATGTCAGATGCGCCAGAGAAGCATCTTGCAAAGCGGATCGGGAGGATGGGCGTGGGTGCACCGGGCTGACCCTAGCGTTCTTCAGTGCGGGTGGGGGGGGGGATGCTCCTTATGAGCGATTTGCATGCTTGCATTGTACACCCGGGTAAAACGATTCCCTTATGTGGATAAGTAAAGAGGATGACCAAGCAATACTGAGAGAATCGGGCTATCTACTTTCAGGCACTTGCAGATGGCAAGGAAGGAAAGGTGAGCGAAAGAGCAATGAGTTTGTTGACTTACACTAAATGTGTGGAACCGTGATGACTAGAACTAGGGGGCAAGTGGCAGAAGGCCTCTAGCAGTAAATGGGATGTGCCAAGGACCCCCCGTGCTTGGATAAATAAAGCTCAAGCGATATCCCCAACAGCACCACACTTTCCCAGCACCCTCGCGGAACCCTCATGGAACCCTCCTTGTATACAGTTCTAAAGCAATCTGATGCTAGCTCGGTACAGCCGACGGGGTCCTCCCAGACCACCCTGCAGCCCTCGCAATGCTGGTGGAAATTTTGTGGAATCTTAATTGAGCCCGGCCCGTGGAACCTTCGTGGAACTTCGGTGGAACCTTGGTGGAAGCCTCGTGGAACCTTACCTCAGGGCTGCCCCGGACCACCCCGGAGCCTGTCTGGGCTGAGGCCACAAAAGCTTGGAAAAGCTGCAACAACTGCTTACAAAGGTACGAAAATCATCTCAGGAAGCACTCCGCATTTTCCAGGTTATAGCCCTAAACAACTCTGGAGCAAATTTTCATAAAACATGCGCCACGCAGCTGCCCGCTTTCGTTAGTAGCATGGCATCGAGTGATTGCTTTGACTTTGATGGCTCCCGACAAGGGAAATATTAGACAAAATTGCTTCCTGGCGTGGGTTCCATTTCGCAATCTTGGAGTGGGATTCATGATGCCCTCCCACCAAGTAACATGGAACACGTCGGGAGGTCCTGGTTTGGACCATTTTCTTTTAAAGGGTCCCCGAACGTCAGTTTTGAAAACAGGGTAAATAAATCTTCCGAACCCTCCCACCAACACATGACGTTTGGGACCCGGTTCCTTCAAAAGGAAACTGGTCCAAACCAGGACACCCAACCTCAGGTTCCATGTTCATTGGAGGGAATCCGAGTCCCCCAAAGGATTCCAAATCAAAGTCATGGCTAATTGCTTTGTTTGATTCTCTGAGAATTTCGGACAACATTCAGGGGTAACCCGAGGCTGGCGGCGGCGCTGAACTGTGCGGGGCTGCCGACCTCGCTGCAGAAGGCGCCACCTTTGAAATTGCACAACTGAACACAGGGGAATTTCGGCAGAAAGAATATAGCACTTGGTGGTTCCTCTGGTTTTTAGCTTTTAGGACTTAGTGGTAGTTTCTTTTAACCCACTGAAGGCTTAACTTTTAGCAGGGGATCTGAGGGACAGCAAAGATAATATGGAAGTTCTTGACTGTAAAGTTAAGATGGAGGCTCGAAATGAACAACGGAAAGTAGGATTTGTTTGCAAAAAACAAATAATTGGACCAGTCTCTCTGCGAAAGCACCTGCATAGCGCTAACCTAGTTCACGGGATCACCCTATCATCTCCTTTGAGAATCCCAGAGCAAACAAAGCTACGATCGCTCGAGATGTGTTGGCCTAAACCCACATGGCCCCAGCTGCAACCAGTTTATCAGGCCCGAGTTAGGGCTTGTTAGCCACGATCGGTGACACCCACACCTTACCTTTTGGATTTCGAATGCTTTTGAGCTCGGAGACGTGAAAATTTTGTCTCTCGCATTTGCGGTAGAAGCCACTGTTTTTTTCGCATAGCCGTTCCAGGTCCGAACATGTGGGCTTGCATTTTTTCATGGAGCCCGGTTTTTGGGCTGTTTAAATGGAAACACATGGGGACAAGGCCTTGTATGCTTTAACCACATGCGTGTGCATGTGTTTGGCTGCTTCGGCGAAGCTCGGGGTGTGGGGAGCTGCTCAAGGCCGCAGGTTGCAACTTGAGGTTTCTACGGCAAAGTACCCGGACCTTACATTAGGCAAACAAACAATCAAACACACCAACAAACGAACGAACCAACAAACACCCAAGCAAACAACCAACCAAACAAACAAAGACTCTCTCTCTCTCTCTGCATTTCTGCTTGTCTCGCTGTTGCAGTGGGTGCGTTTTGTGTCGTTGGTGTTTGCGATTCGTTTAGGTGGGCAAGGGCAGTCAGTGGGGCTTCGCATGAATGGTTTGGGAGGGCAGGGGGATGGGAAACATGAGATGGGCCAGCTTATTCGGCAATCGCCAACCAGCACCCTCCGAAAACAGTGATAATATAGATTTCTCGGCATTGGCCATAGGACCACAGGTTATACAGACAAGTTGCTGGCAGCACCGTGTTTGTTGGGGTGTGCTTTGTTGCTGGTGGCCCGTGTTTGGTGCTGCTTCGTTCGTTGAAGGCGGTGGTCGTTTTACTAAAGGGACTTGCAGCTTGCTACTGAGCAATTGCCGGGACCATCCGTGCTGAAAAGAGCGATGGCACATGAGTTGAAGCTTAGCTTTAGCTGAGTGGGTTGCATTGTTCTGCTACAGGGGTGTTTGATATATAGCAAGGGGCTTTGAGTACCATTGCTCATGTACATTTGGGCGTCTTGCCTGGTCGACTTTGTATTTGTGGATGTTGGCTTAGACACCCGAGGGCCTGTCGAGCAGGTTGGGCGGCGTTGTTTTGTTTTAAGGATACGATTCACAAACTTAAAATAACCCTTAGTTGGTGGTTTGGATTCGTGGTTTGGGGATTTGAAACCCTTCTTGTAGAGGCTTAGATGGTCACACCACACCACCAACCCGAAACCACCAATCAGAGGGAAGCTGATTACATGTGCTCACTTTTGGCTTGCACCTGTTGGTGCAGAGGCATGGAAGGCACCATTGAGTTTGAGAGATGGCCGGTCGTGCATAAGTGTGCAAGGCTCGACAGGTTCCTGCAGAGAACTGAAAAATACACGCTATCCCAACACCGGCCATGCGGATTTCTGGCGAAAGGTTCTACCGATGGCTAGGAATTTCAATGAGGGACCCTTTGGAAATCATTTAGGGGTTTCATGTCTACCTTTGTTCCCCATTCGTTTTTTCATAGCCAGATGGACACTATCCACAGATCTGCCAGGAGTTGGTGTGCCAAGAGGCACAGGCGCGAAGTCGGAGTCAAATTTCCGTGGGAAATGTGGACGTTCCGGTGTTCATGATAAACATCTTCCCCTTGGTTCTAGCACCCCTCCCAGCAAGTGACAGCCGGAACCTGACGTTCGCGACCCAAACGTCCAAACCAAAACCCCCGAATGTCAGGATCCGGGTGGTAGTTGGTGGGAGGGTAAATCCCCGAATGTCGCCCAAAGGTTTGCAAATCAAATCATGGCCACTTGGTTTGATTTTCTGAGACAAGGAGGGCAACCATATGATCTAGGGGGACAGGCATGGGGCATTCTTTGAGGGAATGGCCTTTGCTCGGGGGAAACCTCACAGCGGGCGTCGCATACTGAATCCCACCGTGACTGAACGTGACTTGACTCCCTTTGGGCAAAAAAGTATCGTGAGGCAAACGCTTTTAGGATTTTGTTGCGCTCCTTTTCTAGTGAGCTTTGCATGCGGCTCAGCAAATTTCAGATAGAATATCTTGTACGCGAGCCTTTCTGGAAAGGTGCCCTTCTGAGTCCAATATCCTTCCCAATCGTTGATATCGTTTGTTGATACCGGGCCGAACATGCAACTACTTCCGGCGTTATTCCGGTTTTGCACCGATGTGCCTTTGTCACTTTCCGCATGTTGGTTCCTCTGCGGGTAAATAAATCACCTTTGCCTTGCTCGGCTTGATCCAGCAAGAGGCCGGCAAGAGGCTCACCCGTGAGCCAGGGCGAATGTGTGCAACTGCTGAACTGACTCCGTGGAAGGGGTGCGGCCAGTGGCATCAATGACCTATTTGGAGCGCATTGTTTTGCACAAGGACAGTAAAAAATGTGATGGCGTTTGTTTCAAGAGGCTTGGGATATGAATTCAACACGCGCGGGCATGTGAAGGAACCTGCCAGGCTGGTTGTTTGTTTGCGCGCTCTCATTGCCACTTGCGCTGTGTGTGGGTGGGCTCTATGTGCAGTGTTTCGCAGGAGGTGAGACACACTCACGGCTGTGCCAGGCTGTGCCGCTTGATGTACAGCTCTCTAGGGCCGTGATGGACAATGGAGGAATGCGGGGGAATGCCAAGAATGGAGGCCGACTTGCGAATCTGAATTAACTTGTTGAGGCTTAAGCCAGAGGTGCGTCCATGCGGCATTGAGGCTGCCTCTCGCTTCTAGGAAGGCAATATTGCATTGCCCAGTTCACGCACTGCACGTGTTGCTTTTGGTCGAGCGCGCTATGGACCCGTGGCTGCTCCTTGCGCCACATGTCACACTTGCCCGGCTGGCGAGGCGGAGCTGGCCATTTTTCAGGTTCAAGGCGGGGAAAGCACGGATTGTGGCAGGAAGACACATGAGCCACAATCAAAACCCTGGTAGATGAAGGTTAGTAAGGGACGATCCCAGGCATAAATAGCTGCGGCCGCCTTCTTAATTCTTTGCATGGTTCTGGGTAGACCATTTTAGTACCAGGTTTTCATTGCGGCTCACATTGTCGGGCCCCCCAACCTGGATTTGCCCTCAACTCAAATAAGTTGACCAGCAAAAACCGATGTGGAATGGTTTTCGCAGAGTGTGAACTCACTGATCTGGCTTTGTGCGTGTTTTTTTGGGCAGACCATTCTATCCGTACAAAAAGCACATGTTTATTTTCTTGGATGTGCGAAGGCATGGGGGGTCGTAGGTGAATCAAACACCCAAGACCTCCCGGATGTCCTTGACACAGGACGGATTGCTGCTGAACTAGGTCCCCCAGTAGTGCGCTTTTACCCTTTTTTGGTTGGGAGGGTTCCCCTACAAAAAAAATGACTACAGAAATTGACTACTAACCTCTCCACTGGAGGACCTAGTGAAGATGCGACAGGTAATCAACGACAGGGTTGCGAACCGTGGATGTCGTTCATCGGGGTCGATGAATGGAAGGCACACGCGTACATTGCAGGCGTTGAGGTGTCATTATAGCGTAGACATGCTTCCGGGGAAGCAGGGGATTGTGACTACTCTTGGCTGAGGTGCAGTCATTTCAGCCAGACAGAAAAGAAGGGCCACACTTTAGGCTAGACTCGCAGCATTCCACAGGCAGCCGGCACGTTTGTTTTTGGTACAGGTTGGTTCTTATCATTGAACAGTGCCGTATATTTGTCCAAAAGGACACCTAGGAAGATTAACTATTTTTCAGTGCCCGCTCGGTTCCTACAAAGTTCCCCCACAGTCTTGCCCACAAGCAACAAGTATAGTAGAGATAAGCTCAGTTCGCAATGCAAGCAACGCAGCAGGCCAGCAAACAGCATGCCAGACAGCGTTTCTTCGTGCGAAGCATCAGACCCAAGGACACCTTGCGCCAACACTTGGGCCATTGGCGACCTTCTGCAGTACTCAGTGTGACGACCAGAAGCCCTCAACATGTTTGTTTACCTTTTGATTTGCAGTTGATTTAGGAGTACAACTATCTTTCAGTTCAGGGTACTCGTGCCTTCTTTCAGGCTTGGTTTGAAGGGATAGATCAAAATGCCGCATGTAGGCGCCCTGTTGGGCCCAGGGATGTCACCAGGCATGACCTGCGCCAGCTGCACTGGCGCTGTCGAGCGCGCCCTTCGAGCGGTGCCGGGGGTGAGCGACGCATCGGCCGCAGCCTCGGCGACGAGTCTCGACGGGGGCGGCCCAGTGAGGTTTGTGTCTCACTCCCGGAGTTCCTGGACTTGATTGTTGGGAAGAC